TACACAAATGTGGGCATAAATAACAAGATCAGTTGTTCAGACAACACACAAAGCCAAAGCCAAAAACACTACTTCTTTCTGAAAAGAGAAAGAAAGAAAGAAAGAAAAAAATAAAAATAAAAAAATCAGCTGCAATGGCTGCATGCGAATATTATCAACTTCTCTTCATCCCTCTCTTCACAACACTCTTCCTAATAATTTACCTCTTCACAACCAAAAACCCGAAAAAATCCTCGATCCCGACAAACTGGCCGATAGTCGGCATGCTCCCGTACCTCTTCCAAAATGCTCATCGTGTCCACGAAGCCCTAAACGACGTCTTGAACGAGTCCGGTGGCACGTTCGAGTTCAAAGGCCCGATTTTCACCAACATGGACACCATCATCGTAACTTGCGATCCAGCTAACATAGACCACATCTTCGTCAAGAAGTTTTCGAACTACCCCAAAGGAACCGAATTTCAAAAGATATTCGATATACTCGGTGATGGGTTTTTCCGAGCCGATTTCGGGCTTTGGGAGCTTCACCGCAAGACCACTCTTTCCCTAATGAGGGAAAATTTCTACTCCTCCTTGCATAAATTCGTGTGGGAAAAGGTCCAAACCGGGCTTCACCCGTTTCTCGACCGGTTCTCCCAAACAGGCTCGGATTTCGACATGCAAGACGTTTTGGGCCGATTCTCGTTCGATGTCATATGCCAGTTGCTTTTGGGCCACGACCCGTGTAGCCTCTCGCTCGATATGCCGAACGTTCCTTGCGAGAGGGCTTTGAACGATGTCATGGGACCTATCATGAGCCGGTACATGGTGCCCGAGTTCGTGTGGAAGCTTCAAAAGAAGCTGAATATCGGTCCCGAAAGGAGGATTTTCGAGACCTGTCGGGCCTTGGACGACTTCATCTACCCGCACGTTTTCTCCCACGAGGAGAACGAAAACAACAACAACAACGTCATGTTTGAGTCTTTCAAGAAGGCGTACGAGGATAGTAATAGCAACAACGAGATCTCGCGGCGGGAGACGAAGGATTTCTTAAGGGACGCGTTCTTGAATCTCCTCGTCGCGGGCCGGGACAGCCTGGCGACGGGCCTCACGTGGTTTTTCTACCTCCTCTCGGGAAACCCGCGCGTCGAGGCCCGAATACGAGAGGAAATCGAGCGCGTCGTTCTGAAACGCTCGGCGGCGAGGGGAGAGTGGAGATTTTTCGAACTTGACGAGTGTGACGAGATGATATACCTCCACGCGGCGCTTTCCGAGACGATGAGGCTCTACCCTCCGATCCCGATGCAGCAAAAAGTCCCGACCGAGCCCGACATCTTACCGGGTCGAGAATGCCGAGTGCAGAGGGACAAGAAAGTGGTGATCTCGTTCTACTCGACGGGGCGGATGGAGAGCGTGTGGGGGAAGGATTGTATGGAGTTTAGGCCGGAGAGGTGGTTGGAGGACGGCGGGGGACGGATCAAGCAACAACCGCCGTCCAAGTTCCCGGTTTTCAATTTGGGGCCGAGGACGTGCGTGGGGAAGAAGATGGCGTACGTCGAGATGAAAATGGTGGCGGCGTTCGTCGTGCACCATTTCGACGTGCGGGTCGTGGAGGGTCACCCGATTTTGCCGAGGCCCGCGATTATACTCAAAGCCGAGCATGGGTTGAAAGTTAGGTTGACCAGAAAGTAAAAGTGTGTGAATGTGTGTATATATATAGAGAGAAATGTTATTGATACATAATACTATACATAAAGGTGTACATAACACTAACATTAATTGGATCCTACCAAAAATAAAAAATCAAGTGGACCCACTCTATATGAGTGTTATGTACACCTCTATGTACTTGTAGCATTTTTCATATATATGTGTGTGTGTATGTGTTGTGATTCATCTAAGCTTTTGCTTTGGGGATGAAGAGAGGTGAGGTGTAAGTATGAATTGTATGTATGAGTTCATGTATGTTGTGAGGTTATATTGTTATTATGATTACATTTGTGTGGGGGGTTTTGGTTATTGACAAATGTTTTTGTGATATGATGTGCTTGAAATGGATTAGTATATGGAATATGAGGGTTTGTATGTTGTGAGGCTATATTGTTATTATGATTACATTTGTGTGGGGGGTTTTTGGTTATTGACAAATGTTTTGGTGATCTGATGTGATTGTAATGGATTAGTATATGGAATATCAGGGTTTGTATGTTATGTGATCATTGTAATAGAAGTGGAGTTTATTTTAGTTTTGTGTTGTAGGTTTTGTTTGTTTGTTCTGTGTTTGTTAGTCTGTTTGGAATAGGTTAAAACCACGCGGAGGATAACCCCCAAAATACATTGGGATAGCCTGCATGATCCTAGCCCAATCTAGATGGTTTGAAACGGCTGTTGATTTTTCCAGCCCAAATAATCATCAGTGGACCAGTCCATTTACTAAAAGATGGTAGGCCCAATTGAGACGAAACGGGAACTGTGTAGCTAGAGTTGCTTGGCCCAGATAGCCCGAGGCGCTGTTGGTAGCTGCTCTAAAGTTTTTGCAGCCCACCATATTGTAAGATAGATATTTATAATAATTAATGAATCTATCATTATATAAAAAAATAATTTTTTTATAAATTTAAAAACTTTTTTCCACAAAAATCAGTGACGGATCTAAGAATTTCACTCAGGGGGGCCCGATTTTTAATATTAAATAACGAGTTTGTAGTTTAAGTCGAAACGCTCATTTCATATAAAAATATAATTTACTATAAATATAAATATCGATAGGTGTACCATCGAGTATTTAAAAATTTTAAATCCGTATCACCCTCAAACTTTTTTATTTTTTATTTTTTATTTTTTTTAAAAAAAAAGAGATTTCAGGGTATAACTTCAACATTTAAAAGTTATGGAAAAATAAGTTTTTTGGTAGAAAATTTTATATAAATTGAACATTTGCGGCACATTGCATAACATTTTTGTTGATGAGAACTTACCAAGTGGACATTTTTAAGAAAAAAATAAATAAAGTTTAAAATATGTGATTACACAAAAAAAAAATCAACATTAAAAAATATAACAATCCAACTAAATACTCGGTTTTATATCACTAAATCGATTTACAATTAAGAAGATAAAAGAGTAAGTCATTACATATATTTTCAAAACCTTATCTAGGAATGAAAAATATGATAGATGTTAGTACATTTTTTAATAAATAAATTAAAGCAACATAAAAAATAAATTTTAATTATTAATATATTGTAAGGATTTTTTGCATTTCTATACATATTTTATAGTATTTTCTTTATATATATATATTTATATTAGTTTTCTTTATATATATATATTTATAATATTTTCTTTATATATATATTGATTTTTTCAAAAAAATGAGGGGGGCCCACGGGCCCCCTGGGCCATATATGGCTCCGTCTCTGGCCAAAATCATTAAATATATCTTACATATAGTAATTGTTGGACAAATCTGAATAGGCAAAAAAATCGACTCATTAGTTGTGTAAATATTTATTTCTCTTTTTTCGTTATTTGACAATAAATAATTATTTTTCTTTTTCTTATTTTTAGTATAAATCTACACGAACTTATCTCTTTTGTTACAAAATCCCATTGCGTACGTCTCACATGTTTAAAAAATATCATCCCTTATCTATAGAGATTTGAAAAAATAAAATAAAATAGAAACCAATTCATAACTATTACTAGAAATTCATTATCTTTAAAAGAAAAAATAAAATAAAATATAAATCAATTCATAATTACTACTTGAAATCCATTATCTACTTTAAGAAGCTAATTTTCATTGGTCTAATTACTAATATTTTTACAAATATTATAAGCTAATCATACAAAAAAGTATAATAATAATTTTGAAATGGTGTGTAATCAAATTTTTTTTATTCTCTTATACAAAATAATTTTACATTGTTTGACCCCGAATCTTTAATTTATAATTATTAAGTATTGTTTATCCTCTTCTTTAATTTATAATTATTTTTTTTCTTCGTCTTTCTAAATAGGATTAATAGTAGTTTCCACTTCCGTCATTGAGTGACTCAAACTCGAGGTCTATTTATAATATTGTTAATTTAATATTGTTTCCGTGTATCATCTGGGGTACACACTAGTGAACAATAAAGAAATGAACACGGATCAATTGAATCTATATATATAATTGTTGGCTCATGAGCATTTAATAAAACCTATTAAATTATACATATGTGGCAATATAATTTTTTCCCTCCAAAAACCGTTACTTTTCATTTATTTAACTTCTCATTTAATTATTAGATAATCAACACACTAATCACTCCAAAATTACAAAAATCATTTTAAACTTTTGATTTACTTACAGCTGACCATATAATGTGTTGACTATTTAACGTGATTAAATGTCATTGTTGGGGTTACATTTAAATTAATAAAATAAAAAACGTATTTGAAATTCCTAAATAAATAATAGATAATTCACACAAAAATATATAACAAAATATACATTACATCCAATATGATAAACGCAAAATAAAAAAAAAAATATTCCACACTCCTTTAATTATAAATTTACCTGCAAAAAAATGCAAGAAAATTTATTAATTATTAATAAAGTTAGCTAGTTTAAAATAACAAACAAAAGACCATCTATGTCGCCCCTTATAACTCATAATTCAAATTTAAAACATTACCCCAACTATGAACAAGTGTACAATAAAGTTGAAATGTGTAGCTAGCAATATCAGTTCACAAACATGGCAAAATAAATTCTATAATTCTATAACTCTCAGCCAATTACCCCTGCTCTCTTTATCTGTCAAACACTAAGGTAGACATGGCCACGGGCCTACCAAGCCCGTGGACCCGGCCCTGAACCGGTCCCGGCCCGGATTTCATCGGTTTCGACACTTAATTTTTCTTTTTTCATCCCGACAGTCCGAGTCGGTTACGGGCCATCAAATTGAGGCCCGACGACTCGGCAGGCCGGGCTGAGTCACGGCCCGTCATTTGGCCACGCCTACACTAAGGATGTGATTGGATATAAATTCATTTAGTAAAAAATTAATTAAAAACTCAAAGTTAGTTTAACTTTAACTTAACTTCTTTATCCTCAATTTTAATCATATAAGGGCTCATTTACTTTGCATGACAGGATATGATAACTAAATTAATCTTGGAATATCTGTCGTTTACTTACACGGATTGGGATGGGATTGAAATGAGGTGGCGCACATGTGGCACTGGGTAATCATCTATTAGCTGATAAATTCACCCAGCCTCCCCCTCGGATAATTTAGTCCCAGCGATAATATGCCCGTCTTACCCTCTATTTTCGCTGCAAAAATACTCAAATACCCCTCATTGTCCACGAATTTACAATTTTGTCCCATATATAATGATACAGAATGAGGCATTTGCCCTAGTTTTTTGCAGAGACGAGGTCAAGCGGCGGAAGAAATATCGTTCTTCTATATTTCCGTCGAGACGAAATGTAAGCTCGAAGTTCGCTATATATGTGTGTTCCAATCATGAAATATGCAACCAATCAATTTTGACGATTCATCGGAATCCTGGAATCGTAATTCGTATTTTTTTTTTTTTTTTTTTTTTTTTTTTTTGTATTCTTTTTCCCTATCTGAAGAAATCGTACTCTGAGGAGGAGGCGGAAGCGTGGTTAGCTTCGGTTTTCGCCGAGGATCTAGGAAAGCTCTCCTAAATTCAGTTAACCAAGATTGAATTTTTTGAATTGAACCATGTTTTCAATTTAATTAGTACTGTGTGGTTGTGCATAATTTAATTAGGATGGTGTTGCAGAAAATGAGTTTACATTACACTTTTGTTAACTGTGTTTGTGCATTCATCTCCTAGCAGAAGCCCACTACGACAACTTGCAGTCCTCGTTGGATTGCCGTCCGAACAACGGTGGTAGCCCTCAGTCGAGCCGTAACAGGTGATAGTCCTAAGCTCGTCGTCCTCGAATGACGTCTTCGATCTCCGGAAGCCAATCGGCCGCGGAATGTCGTCGGGGCCCACGTCGTCTCCGTCTTCGAGTGGCACTCGTGCTCGCCTTCTACTGTTGGATGAATTAGGGCTCGACGAACAAATCGAAAGAGGGCCAAATGGTAGACACTCTGTAAAATGTATGAAATGAAGGGTAAACTAGGCAATTCAAGGCTTATCTTATAATTTAGTTCAGGAATGTAAATGCTTGATAAATTTCACAATTTTAATCCCATAATGTAAACGCATGACAATATGGTGATGTGTAAAGTTAGTTAGATAACTTTGTCTAATCCAATCCATCAAAGTAAATGAGGCCTAAATAAATAATACTCCCTCCATTTTGAAATATAAGGCATTTAAGGTTATTGCACAAATATTAAGGAGACATTAATTAATGAATAAATTGACTAAATTAACCTTATTTACTCTAATCACAACCACTCCACACTTCCTTAATTTCAACACAATGAGGGTATATTTGGAAAAAAATGCAAAAATTTGTCTTGATTTTTGAGCGCGCCTTATATTTCAAAAAAAATGAGAAATCTTTATACGCCTTATATTTCAAAATGGAGGGAGTAATAATCAATCATCCTTACACATCACATCAATTTTATTTCACTATTCACCCACTCACATAATTTTAACTAACCATCACTTCAATCATCTCTCTCATATTTTTACATCAAATCAGTTTTAGTTTTTTTATTTTTTAATATTATTTTAATATAAACATAAACTCTCACTAACAACTAATCATACCAACATTTTCAAAATTAACTATGATTAACAAAAAAATCAATAAAAAGCAATCAAATTCATATCTAATCACACTTTAAAACCTCCCAAATTCCATTACAAATAATTAATTATCTAATTTTTACATTAGAAAAATTGCCACCAAATCTATTGGAACTTTTTTTAAATCTCACCATCAAAAAATAATTATTTACAAAATAATTTACTAAGGTGCACTTAGGCTCATCCTCTTATAGTGTGCTTCACGTGCATGGGACCGCAACTGTTTCCCTCAATTTTTGCATTGTATCAGACCGGGCCTGAACTAGGACCTGCAATGACGTACTCCTATGAAGGACACACAAGTGAGGGGCGTATTAGAATATCACTTGTGAGTTATCCCACATCACTTCTGCAGAGAAAATGAGTCTATCTTATAAGCCTAGTGAGTTACCCCTCTCATCAACCAATTGGTTTTTGGATGAAGCCTTTGCATCTAAGCTCGCCCTCCTTCTTATGGTGTGTTTCACGTGCATGGAACTACACATGTTTCAACCGATTCTTTCAGTTAT